GACTGCGTTACCGGCCTTTTGGGGATTAAGAATTTTTGAAGATTGTTGGGAATTTAGGGAATGGGGAATTTAACACGTTAAACGCCATGGGGGTCACCGGTGACCGACATTAGCGGAGGATTTACCTTCAATAGTTTTTTATTGGCAGTCAAAAGCTTAAGGATCCCCATCCCTACATCCTACATCCTACATCCAGGGGTGTATTTGGGCCTGCGATAACCTCACTAACACGACGAAACATAATGCAAGCGTTGTTTCACGTATTTGCTTCCATGTATATTATGCGTTTGTATATGTTTTCTGCAGGTAATCGATAAGTATAATGTGAATATTTCAGTAGTGTTTCTGCTAATTGTCTTTTTTTCTGTTGCACTTTTCAGAACTACGTTCTATGTAATTATGTATTTTACTTTAATTAAGTATTTGAACATAGATTCAGTTTCAGTTCCAAGTCAGTTAGCAAATTAAAAATATTTATTTTATTTTATTTTAATACTTTATGTATAAAATAGCAAGCCTGTGCATTCTTCCCCAGTCCTACTTTGGGTAGTACAGAACCTTACGACAGTTTTCTATCCAAAAAAACTATTCTAGGCTAGTTTTCTTCAGTTGATACTTGATCATATTCTCAATATAACAGTTACACAAACAAAATCACCAGTTCTACTTCCTAGTTCACCAGAATTAAGATGAGTAAGGCAATTCCCGGTTGGATGTCCTTGGATATGATTTGGGTCACCCCCGAGACGATGGTCTCTCCAGGATCAGGCCCGACAAAAGGTATGAAATAAAATATCTATATTTATTGGCAAGGAAGTCCACGCCATACTTTTATGTTAGGAAGCCCCGTAAATATTGTCAAAATGTGTTATTGGGATTTGTATGAGATTTTAGCTTAGTCGAGTGGTTGGTAAATGTGATTGTTTAGCATGAGTTTGGCGGTTCGATTCACTGCAAATTGTTGACGAGTGTTTTGGATTTTTTGTTATTTTGACCAGAGGGTTAGGTACTTTTATTATTGTAGGGGATTTATTGTAGAGGTATATCTGCGACACTTTTGCTAAGGATTCCTATGAGCATCTTCTGATATTTCGTTGCTGCTGTCAGTATTGCAGTCTATAGATCTATAAGTCTGTAGATCCTGGCTTACAGGAGATGCAATGGTGTCAGGAGATTACGGCTAGATGTTCAAAAATAAAAAAAAACATTATGGAATATACATTTAATTAAATCAAAAACATAATTACTTATACACAAAAATTACACAGCATTCACGGATTACCTCGTCATTACATTGTGCACACTCATCATAAATAATTGTCATTACACAACAATTTTGTGTGGTCAATGACCGGCATAGATTTTCGTGATAACTATTATCTTACTTGTAATAGGTAACACATCAGCTAGAGTTTATTGACCCGTGCTATCCGTGCTACTAAACGATTAGCTATGCCCTTGACCGATAAATACTAGTTAGGGTATGTACACATCGTTCCTCATTGCCAAGTGGTCGCAAGTGCGACTGCCGGACAAGGTTCTCGGGTTCGATTCCCAGGTCGGGCAAAGTATTACTGCCTCTGATCCGATTTAGTGCAATTTTCTGATGGTTAATTTTTTCTTCATAAATAACCCTGAGTTACTGAGATCAAAATTAATACAGTAAAATCGATTCTCATTTACGGAGAATGGCTAGAGAAAAGGAAATTGGGATCAATATCTATACGCATACATACAAACATTGTTTTTTATATTTGATGGGCCGACGTTCGACCACTATGTCGCTTGGTGGCAAGCGATGTTGCGGTCTATAATGGAGCACGTCGACCCATAAGCAACCTATTCACTCGGGCCTTGAAGACACTCAGGTTATATCCTTTAGGAAACACAGACAAATAAAAGACATTACATATGGACCTAAGTATGTCCTAAAATTGACACCTTCCACCGATGGACGGGCAGCAACATCCCTTTAACTTTCAGTGATCGCTCTATATCCACCAAATCGCCAACACAGTATGAGAACTATGGCAAACGTCCTCTTTATCAATAGCCTATAAATGCCCACTGCTGAGCAAAGCCTCTTCTCACACAGAGAAGGTTTGAGCATGAATCACCACGATTGCTCAATGCAGATTGGCGATTTCAAACTTATAATTAGAAATTATATGCTTGGGTTTCCTCACGATGTTTTTCTTTCACCGTTTGTCAGTGGTGTCTAAATAATCTTAGAAAGTACATATAACTCGGAAAAAGTCACATTGGGGTTTGCCGTTGGTAGGTTTCGAACCCGCACCCTCATGCATGAGAAGCGGGCGTCTTAAACCTCCGAGCCACCACGACTACGTCCTCTTAGTTACTTATAAATATTTTAGTTACTTACAAATATTTCAATGGTCTTATGGTATGGCGCATTTAATTTATTGGATGTAAAGTAAGTCATACTTACTAATTCGGAGTCGCGGAGAACCTAACGGGTAACCGGGGCTCCGACTCGACGTGCAGGAGAAGGAACGGGGTGGTTTTTAGTCAGTAAGAGTCTGACACTCCCTCCCGCCGCACCCAGGCGGGAGCAGTCATTCGATGATTTTCCCCCCTTAAAAAAAAGTCATACTTACTAGGGTTGTCAACAAAATAATATTTTGTATTTTTGTAACTGAACTGATGTGATAATGCATCTTATTATTGTATTGTGTTGTGTTACCTTTTAATCTTCTCTCGCATTACAATCTGGGGGCTTACTATTGAATCCAATTCCGATCGATCGACATTGATATTTGTTTTTATAATAACTATCGTGAGACATACTAAATTAAGTAAAATTGCGGGTTACTCACGTGAATATACTGAGAAAAGCTCTACTAGTTTTGAACCACAGAGGGGTTCTTCCTCATGAGCAGCGTGCGCGGTCGCGGCGACGTCGCACAGCTCACTTTCCTCATATTCCTCATGAGCAGAGTTTTTACTTAATTGACATTGATATTGTGAAATTTCGTAATCTTGAGTTGCAATACTAGCGCCCATCGCATACGTGTTGCGTAGATATTGAATGAACTAAATGGTATTGAGTTTGGCTTTATATTCCGTACTCTGAATGCCATTTTAACAGCTGCGATAGGAGTTGTATAGTGTTGACATTGCATAATTATTGATATTTTATTGGATTGAAATTGCATTGACATTGTGATTGGTTTCAAGAGTAAGCACCCTGGTCAAACTAGTCTTACAAATGTCGTGAAACTCTGTAATTGGCTTAAGTGATAATTTTCATCATCTCGTTATCACTGTGCAGCGTCAATCGACCTCACTTTTCCAAGGTAGTAGGGGGAAGTCTCTTAACGCCGGACGGCACCTAACGCCGTACGCTTGTATTAGGTATCTCTATAACTAATAACGCGAGGGATTCAATTTTTAGGGGGAAATCTCCCAGTGGCAGTCACCTAAGTTTTTTAGTAAAAATGGAATCGCTCGTGTTATCAGTTATCGAGATAATACAGGCGTACGGCGTTAGGTGCCGTCCGGCGTTACGGGACTTCCCCCTATATATTCTTTAACCTGCATAAGGCTGTGCATTGAAAGTGTGATGTGTATTCCCAACTCATGTAACTACATTAATAAGCTGTTGAATTTCCAAATAAACAAAAAAAATATATAAAAAAAATTTAGCGATCGGTCTTTGCCCAGTATTACATTCAGGCTATTGACGATGACATACATTGTACCCCAGTGTCAACAACCGGCATAGATTTCCGTAATATTAAGTTACGTGTAACATATCAGTGAGAGGTCATCGACCCGCATTATTCATGCTGTTGTACGATTACTATTACCTTGACCAGTAATGTTAGATAAGATTGCGGTTGTCGAATCATTATTGACGTGGAATACACGTGTAGGGAAATTGGGGCAGTGTCCTCGTTGAAGGATTTTTTATTCGATGGGGTAGGTAGGGTACTACTGTAAAATTCACTGGTGTTATGGGTATGTGAGGAGTTCCATATGGCACATTTTGTACCTACAACACTTATATGTGTGCTTTTACTGACAATTTTGAAAACTGATTAATGTAAAATACTTTGCGTAATCTCAGGGTCTCAAAATAACAGTCATCTTTATTTTATGGGATAAATCTGTAAAGGAGCAGACGGATTACCTTATGGTGAGCAATCGGCGTCGCCCATAGACCAGCAAGACTAGAGGCGTTACAAGTGCGTAACCGGCCTTTTGGGGATTAGGAATTTGAAGAATGTTGGGGATTCAGGAATAGGGGAGATTGAGGAAGGGGGGGGGGTAGTTGGGCCTTCGGTGACCTCACTAACACGACAAAATACAACGCAAGCGTTGTTTCACGTCGGTTTTTTGTAATATCACTTGGTGGTATCACTCCAGTTGAGTCGGCTCATTTGTGCCGTTCGGCTATCCCACACTTATTATCATCATAAATAAATTTTAATAGAAACAATAAGGATAATTCTATTTTATTTCATGCTTTCAATAATCATTCTAATGTAATACAGACTAGCGAGAGTGTTACAAAACACTGTCCTGAAAAATTGGGAAAAAACATATTATTAAATAATACAAATCACCTTCTGTCAAAAATTTTTACCTCTAGAATTGGTTTTAGACTATTCAGGTCAATGAACTTAACAGATATGCTTATCCGTCCATATGATTGTCTTAATCACTTCATTTGGAAACGAGGCCATCAGTTTATTATCGATAAATAAATTGGATTTCGTCTATTATATTTCATACATTTAACTTAAAATTGTGAAAGTCAACCCATTTTTTTACAATCATGGTCTATCTCGGTCCATAAGGGCGTAACTTGTTAAAAATATTTGCCGTCAATCATTATTTCAACCTAAACGTATAACAAAAGTTTTCAAATTTGCCCTACACTAATTAAATATTATCTTATCGGCATCAAAACCTTGACGATACGGAGAGCTCATATAAAACAAAGGTCACCAGTTCTTTGATATTAGTATCAAAATCAATATGGCTCCGTACAACTTTGAGGGAGATTTTGGTAACCTGAGCGAAAACCAAATAGAGTTCATAAACAAAGTGATAGAAGAACAAGATTTAAAAGTAAATAAAGTAGTATTTAAACCAGTAGGACAAGCTGGAGATAATTTCGTTGCCAATGTAATGAGGATCAGCATAGAAGGAGAAAATGGAAGCATGAAGATGGTGATAAAAGTTGCACCTGGAGATGAAAAGATTCGCACCACTGTTAAAGCCGATCTTTTATTTCATAATGAGCATGTCATGTACACGGAAGTTTTACCAAAGCTTGTGGCACTGCAGAAAGCAACAGGAGTACCAGAAGAAGAACATCTAAGATATGCTAAATGCTACGGATCTCTGAACGAAGCACCTTATGAAATTATACTCCTGGAAGACTTAAATGAATCTGATTTTAAAATGTTGAACAAGTTTGATTCTCTTTCAGATGAGTGTGTTAGAAGCATATTGAAGAACTTTGCAATACTGCATTCTGTGTCTTATGCATTGAAAGAAAAACAACCAGAAACATTTGAATCCTTCAAGAGTAAACTAATAGATGTATGGAGCGTAAATTTTTCCACAAATGAAGCTAGAGATTATTTCCAACTACTTGAGAGTTCAGTATTGGCCAATCTTGATGAAGAAGAACATAAATCAAAATTCAAAAGTAATTTTATGGAAATACTAAAATTGCCAATCCAGTTAGCAAAGGATAGAGATTGTAAATATTCCATAGTGCAACAAGGCGATGCTTGGACCAATAATATTATGTTTAAGTTTTCGGTAAGTACTTCGAACTTATTGTTATCTGTGAAAGTCGAGAGGAAAGTAAATTGAGAATTCTCATTAGCATTGTCTTTTACTTGCATTAATTTTATTTAATTTTCAATCGCTTTTCGATATTGTATTGTTTTTACTAGACACTATTTTTGCACGTTGACTAATTTTTGACTATCATACGATAAGGCGGTATCATTTATTTGTTACACCGGTTTTGATAGACATTGATAGTATTTTAGTCTCGTGACATATTTTACGATAGTGGCCATTTTGTTTTTATTTATTTTTTGATAGAAAATGTTGTTATCAGAAAGTTATAAGACTGCCTCGTCGGCCGAGTGGTCTCAGGTTCAATTCCCGGGTCGGGCAAAGTATTACTGGGTTTTAAAAAAATCTCAGTAGTAGCACGGAGTCTGGAATTGTGTCCGGTATATGGCAATAGGCTCACCCCCTATTACATGGGACTAATAACATAAATAGTGAAAAGTGGACGTTACTTCTGTGTGCACCTCCGAGAGGTAGGCAGACCTACCTCTTCAGGGATAAAATGTTATGTTATAAATTAGTAATATAAGGGCCTGATTCAAAATGTCTGATTTACTTGCTTAACTGATATTTAAATTGAGAAATTCTTCCTCGTGTTAGTAAAACATAGTATGAGTCTAATTGTCATTAAATGTCTTTACAGGAGGACAAATTAGAGCAGTCGGTAATGATTGACTATCAAGGATCCAAAATTAGTAATCCAGTGGGAGACATTCTCTACATGATCTTCAACTGCACCGACCACGAGACCAGGTCTATTTACTACTACGACTGGATAGACTATTACCACACCGAACTAGACAGATGTTTATCCTATTATGACCTGAAAATAAACTACATCTACCCAAGAGATCGTCTAGACGCAGATTTGAGAAGATATGGCAAAATCTCATTTGGACTATCTTCAATGTTAACCTACGTTTTGATGAGGGACACGAAAGAAGCTGGAGAAATGCTAGAAACGTTTAAGAGTGGTGATCCAAATGATGTACTACAGTTGATGGGAACCCAGACTTTACAGGGTGAAACTGTTGTTCGTACTAGAAAAAGGATAGTTGGCCTCATTGATAGTTTTAGTCAATTTGGGTTATTGTAAATTAAAAATCGCCTAAAATAATGCTATAGAGAATTATAATGAATAGATCTAGCTAAGTTATAGTTAATAAATTGTCGACACACCTAATTTATGAATTTTATGGGCCATTGGCCAAGACAGATATGTGACAATCATAGTACCTGATGTTTGTTCTTATGACCAAATAAATAGTAGTAAAAATAAATAAATCTGTGATATTCTTTGCTAAAAGTCCTATTGATCTGGTTACTGTAAGAGTCATATTTATATGACAAGTTAATAATTGGGTTATACCCGTGCCGGAGCCGTGTTTGTTAGGTGTGCGATGACTTTTTCAGGGTTGTTTTTACTCGTTACCTAAAGTTGTCTATCTAAATTACGGGTGGATGTGACTACCAACAAGGAACCGCTTTGAGTACTACCGGCGGTCAGGTTATAGTGCTAAAAGACCATTTGTTTCTTTTCTATTCCTTTTTTTCTGAGTGGTAGTAAAAAGTAAACTCATATGACCTTGATCTTTAAATTGGCACAAAAATGGTTTGACGCCAACCTTCGCTTCTACATAGGGTTCCTGTATATGATGATATATGTCGAACAACTTGAATCTAGAAAGCATGACACTATAATAATAATAATTGAAATAACACTTCATTATACTCCACCTTTAAAAGGCAACAAACAATATGAATTGTAGAACCACATTTCGGGGACATTAGTATTAATATTATGTCACGTTAAATGTTACTTTGAGGACCAGCACCAGGTTACCGGAGTATTTCTTTCCTATCCCCAATCCCCAGAATCACTAAAAGGCCTCTGGTGTTCTTGGTGTCTATAGATAATACTTACCATCAGGTGATCCGTATGTCATACTTACCATCAGGTGAGCCAACCATTTTCCATATATAAAAAAGAAATCTTGCTAAAATTTAAAATATGTTGTGATACACTGGACCCAATTCTAAAAGTGTCACTCCGAAAATTTTCGAGAAACTGAATAGATCCAATAATATTCTAGGGTAAAAATTTGGAAAAGACCAAACATTTTTATACAGCTTAAAGAAGCTAATTTTTTTCCAAATGCACTGCACTGTTTGAGCTCAACCTTTCGAATGAGTGTTATGCCTCTCATAAAGTAAGCACTTTAATTTATTTTCCTACAATGATTCAACGAAAATGAAAGTAGGTAGCAATAATGTAATTGATAAAATATAAGTATTTAATAATGATTTTACAAAATCTGTCGGTTAAGTTTAAAGTCCCATGATAAATAAATGAAATCATGGAGTAAAGTTCAGAATTAGGTATATCACAAGAATCAAAAAACGACAACTTATTTGACTCACCTGGACAAACGTTGGTATTGGCTGATGAAAATTATTTACTGTTACAAGATTTACTCACATTTTTTATGTCAATGGATGCCAAAATTACTCATTAATTACCATGCGTACCTATTATTATATATTCCTTTTTTATTAGGGTGAAAATCCATCCAATGACTTCTCCCGCCCGGGTGAGGCAAGAGGTAGTGTCAGACTCTTACTGACTAAAAAGCTCGCCGTTCCTACTTCTGTACTTCGAGCCGGAGCCCCGGCAACCCGTTAAATCTTCCGCGGCTACGTATCGGCATCAGCCCTGTTGGGCCCCATCTGTGATAGTCTGATAGTTCTTTGAGGCGCGCATGCGTACCTATACTTACATTACATTTACCATACCATCAGTAGACTGCGCAACATAGCCGCGACCGCACTCGCTGCTCATGAAGGAAGAACCCCTCTGTAGTTCGAAACTAGTAGAGCTTTTCTTAGTATATTCACCTGAGTAACTAGCGATTTTTAGTTAATTTACCATGCGATGACAATAAGATATTTTGGCTTATTCTATTATACTTAATCAAATCAAAAATATTAAGAAATGACGATTGATGAGATATATGCAGTATGGGCACCGGTATGTAATTAAAAAGCAAGATATGAATAATTATAAGGTACTAGCTATACATGCGAATATGGCCCAATATAAGTTCAGAGGTGATTTTACCAGTATAACGTAAGACGTTCATACGTCAACTGGAGTTCATTAACGAAGTGATTGCAAGTTAATAAGGTGATATTAGTTCCATTGGAAAAGCTGCTGATAATTTTATGTCTAATGTGAAAATAATCAGTGTAGAAGATGATTATGGGAGCCTGAAGATGATTGTAAAATTTGCGCCAGCGTTTGTAGCTAGCCATTCAGCCGCAAATACAGAGTTAAAAAGTTAGAAGAAGAGTTTAGAAGACACTAATCGAAGCATGAAGATGATTGTGAAAATAGCACCTACTAGCGAAGTATTTCGGAAATTACTTCGTTTGGACGCTGCATTCAACCGTGAACAAACTATGTATACAAAGGTTAGCACTTCTGTATACCTTTGGTAGCCCTTAGCTAGTGTCACAGCAGAACGCAGCAGGAGTACCAGAAGAAGAACAACAAAAATACGCAAAATGTTATGGATCTCTAAACGAAGTACTGAACGATAAATGAAAATTAAATTATAGAGTGTGTGTTGCATCATGTGCCAAATTGAAATGGTCGACGGAAATAATCATCTGTTAACACCCCTAATGGTCTGTGGATTTTTAATCGACGTTTTATTGTTTTACTAAAAGACACCCAAATTTTACATTCAAATACAAATTTAAAAAAAGTTTAAAGCGTAGACTCTGAATTTTATATTCAAGAGTACTTTTAAATGAAAAAATAGTAATATTAATCACCAAGTTACATACATTAATCACCCTATACTTTTTGAAACCATGTGTTTTAATAACACAAGCTCGCTCTATCACCACAGCAGACGAAAATTTTGCTACTATGCATGTTTGAGTTGTATTACCAGTTATTTTCCCTTAAATTTCTTAATCGTCGTTATGAAGCGAATCGTCTGCTATTAATGCTATTAAGTTTAACGTATAAATACAAGCCGTATTAACAATGGTTTATTTATCATTAAACATGTTCGGGTAGCATCACTACTGTTCGTCAATGATTAATACAAATAAGACATACACTAGACATATATAACATACTTACGTAATATACCTACCAAGAATCTTAAAAATAATACATATCTTATTAATAAACCATGTGGTTCAACTAGATATGTAAATTAAACGAGAGAACAGACAATAAAATGAGTAATCACGATGACTAGCACAATCATATCTAATCTGCCGCAAAAAATACGTAAATAAAACTATACATACGTACATACATAAGATAAATCACGTCTATATAAACTAAAACGCAAATCATGTTACAAGTTAAATGAACACAGCTGTATACAAACGAATATGTCTCAATATAAATTGGAAGGTGAATTCTCCAATATAAATGAACGCCAACTGGAGTTCATCAATGAAGTGATTTTACAACAAAATTTGCAAGTTGATAAAGTGATATTTGGTCCATTGGGAAAAGCTGGTGATAATTTCATGTCTGATGTGAAAAGAATCAGTGTAGAAGGTGCTCACGGGAGCCTGAAGATGATTGTCAAAGTGGCTTCAGATTTGGAAGCTGTCCGTTCCGCCACAGGTACTGAATTACTATTCACTAATGAGCATGTTATGTACACGGAAGTATTACCTAAGCTGTTATCACTACAAAAAGCAGCAGGAGTACCAAAAAAAGAACATTTAAGATACGCAAAATGTTACGGATCTCTGAACGAAGCACCAAACGAAGTGATAATTTTAGAAGACTTAAATGAATCAAACTTTAAAATGTTAAACAAGTTTGAGCCTCTGTCAGAAGAGTGTATAAGAATCATTTTAAAAAACTTTGGAATTTTTCATTCACTCTCGTACGCATTGAAACACAAAGAGCCTGCGACCTATCACCTCTTCAGTAGTAAACTGAAAGATACTTGGGATGTTCGAGTTAATGATCCAAACGTTGGTCTTCAATTTGAACTGCTTTTAAAAATGGTTTTACCATTACTTGACAACGATACTCAAAAAAATATAGTAAAGGATAAATTATCAAATGTAGTACAAGCAGTTCTAAATCTATCTGAGGATAAAAATAGTGGAATCTCCGTCATTCATCAAGGCGATGCTTGGACCAATAATTTTATGTTCCGGTTTGAGGTGTGTACTTGTGTTATAAAAATATAGCTATGAATGCATAATTAAATTTTATTGAATATGCGTTGGCGTTGGCAATGCCATTAATCTATATGTTTTTTGTTTACAGGAAGGTGACTTGCGTGAATCAGTGATGGTTGACTATCAAGCTTCATCGAGCCACAATCCAATGACCGATATTCTCTTTATGATCTACATCTGCACCGACCATGAGGCCAGGTCTCAGAACTTGCACGACTGGTTGGACTATTACCACTCAGAATTAGATAAATCTTTGTCCCATTTTGGCCTCAAGGCCAACGATATATATTCAAGAGATCAGTTAAATGCTGATTTAAAAAGATACGGTAAATTATTGTTTGCTACAACAGTCCTGTTCAATAATGTTTTAATGAGAGATGCGAGTGAAGTAACTGCAATGATGGAAGCCCTGAAGATTGGTGGCTTTGATGGAGTAATGGAGAACATGGACAAGCATGCAATGTCAAAAGAAACCTTTGACCGAAGTAAAAAAAGACTCTTAGATCTAATCGAAACCTATACTCAATATGATTTGTTGTAAAAAATGGACGTTCGTAGAAATGTTTATTTAGTAATTAAAGGTAATATGTCATAGTTAAATTACGAGTAAACTTTATATTTGTTTGTATATACAACAATATTTGTTACTTATTTTTTTGTAATATGTTCTCTCCCTACTTGTCCCATAACTGTCGATTATTGTGCTACACAATAATATTTATTTATTTATTTAAGTTTTATACAATTGCATAAGGAAGACTTAATGCTAACGGCATTCTCTGCCAGTCATCCTTTGGGTAGTGCAGAAATGTATGTGGTAGGTGGTAAGCTGCAAAAATGTTATGAGAGATAGTGGTAATTCTACTAATATACATAAATTATGTTCTTCAGTAAATATACCTCTATATTTATTATTAGCGCTGTTGTTATCCATGAATCGAAACCATGCGATACTCATTATCTTTTTTATCTCTCACTTGGGCGGGTTATGGAAACAGATACCTACTTTGAACAATCGTCTCCGATTTTTATCAACTGGCATGGCACTCATTATTCATGATAGTTGCTAGTTAATGAGTGGCTTACTAACTCCTCAAACAATTTAAATAAAGGGGCGAGAGTGATTGACCACCAGAGTGCTAGATGTTTTCTTGCTTTTAAACATGATTATATACAATGACAGTTTCAAGAAGTCCGACGAGTAAAAACACACTATTTAGAATGCATAATCGTTTATGAAGTTCAGATAACGCTTTTGCAGTTCATCTGTTATTAAAAACAATTACCAACAATTTACCCAGTGCAACCAACAGAGAACAGAATCAATACTAACGATGACCAGAATAATCAGTTATCTAATCTGTCACAAAAATAACAAAACATTGCAAGATATAAGATATAGCAAGTCTATATAAACTAACACGCAAACCATAAGTAAAAGTATTTTGCCCGCACGAACCAACATACAAACGAATATGGCTCAAATCAAGTTTGAAGGTGATATCACCAATATAAACGAACGACAACTGGAGTTCGTCAATGAAGTGATTGCAAAACAAAATTTACAAGTCGAAAAAGTGATATTTAATCGGATGGGAAAAGCTGGTGACAATTTCATATCTGACGTAAAAAGAATTGTCGTAGAAGCTAAAGATGGAAACCTGACGATGATCATTAAAACAGCTCCAGCTATGGAAGTTCTTCGTTCGTCATTAAACACTGACTTAATGTTCAAAAATGAGCATGTTATGTATACGGAGGTGTTACCCAAGCTATTGGCGCTGCAGAAAGAAGCAGGAGTACCAGAAGCAGAACATCTGAGATTTGCAAAATGCTACGGATCTCTAGACGAAGCACCAAATGAAGTCATACTTTTGGAAGACTTAAATGAATCAGATTTTAAGATGTTGAACAAGTTTGATCCTCTGCCAGAAAATTGTTTACGTAGCATCCTAAAAAATTTTGCAATACTTCATTCTCTTGCGTTCGTATTGAAAAATAAAGAACCAGAAACTTATGATCTCTTCAAGAATAAATTGAAAAATACTTGGGAACCCAAATATAAAGATCCAGATTTTGACCTTCAATTCAAAATGTTTAATAAAGTGAACTCACAGTTACTGGACGACGACCGTCAAAAAGAGATTTTGAAAAATATGCTGACAGATGTATGTAAAGAAATAGAAAATTTATTAAAGGACAAAGATAACAAATATTCCGTTATTCAACAAGGCGATGCTTGGACGAACAATTTTATGTTCAAGTTTGAGGTGAGTACTATTTTTCGGCTGATTGATTTTTCTATTGTTTTTTTTAATTAGTATTTTTAAACATTACAATTTGAATCTGGAGTCGACCTGATGATGGAGCCGACAGAGAGTCGAGAGAACTCATCAACGGTTTATATTAATTACCTTGTGTTTGGGCTTGATTCATTTGTATTGATGAGGACTTTACACCTAGATAAAGTGGGACTGTCATTAAGGGTCTGTTGATGAAAAAGTGTAATTGTTAAGGGAACACCTCAACGGTTTATAGTAAGTACCTTTAGTTTGGGCTTGTATAATTTGTATTGATTAGGGCTTTGCACCTATGTAGATTATAAGTGACAAAACGGATCTATATAGCTTTACACTGAAAATGATAAAATACTGTGTTTAAAAAACCGACTTCAAAAAACCAAAAACTAATAACAAACATAAAGCAAAAATTAAAAAGCAAAAATAACTATTATTAGTACTGATAGGTTACACACCCATTGATAGGTTAGAAAACGGTGCCATAAGCTCATATCATAATGGTCACAAAATTGTAAATTAAGTATCTATTAAGGTTTTAATGAATAATTTTGTATAGAACTTATGGCGTCGACTTCTAACCTATCAGTGCTAATAATAGTTGTTTTTTGCTTTTAAGATTTTACTTTATGGTTTTATTAGTTTTTGGTTTTTTGTGTTATTTATTAAGATGGATTTTAATGCTATAACGGCCCTAGGTGATTTATGACAAGGATATTAGTTAGAAATTACGAATACATTCCCACAGGACTTAACAAGTTTGCTTAAATCTATTAAATTGATGTGTAGAATATTCATAATAATATTTTTATATGACACAGAACTAGCAAAAACTAGTATAAATCCAAAATCAGTAGAAAATTGATAACATGAGCTTTCTAATTCTAGGAGGGCGAGTTACGTGAATCAGTCATGATTGACTATCAAGCTTCAGCAAGTATTAGTCCAGCTTCCGATCTTCTTTTCATGCTCTTCAATTGTACTGAACACGAGACCAGGTCTAAGAATTTCGTTGCCTGGATAGACTATTACCACTTGGAATTGGACAAATCTTTGTCATATTTTGATCTAAAAGCTGATGACATCTACCCAAGAGATCAGCTGGATGCTGATTTGAAGAGATATGGCAAAATATCTTTTGCTATAATTATTCTTTTCACTAATATTTTAATGAGGGATTCAAGTGAAGCTGGAAATTTACTAGAAGCTTTACAGAATGGGGGCATAAAAGAAGCAATGGAAGAAATGAGTAAACGGAAAATGAACAAAGAAACCGCAGAACGAGCCAGGCATAGGATTGTGGGTCTAATTGATTCTTACATACAATTTGGTTTACTGTGAAATTATAAAATTAGTGCATTTGGGATGTAGTTTGTCATTGTGATTATATTTTAGTTGAAGAATATTTCGTCCCGTCGTTTTATTTCGTATGGTAAAATATTAGCTAGCCCTTGCATCATCGAATCTAAAGAGGCTGTTGATACTTATGACTGTTTGAATGAGGTCAAAAATTAATTCCTTTTAGGGGTTACAGATTTAGGGCAGTTAGTTCTGTACCATAAACAATAATAATTGAAACAATTTCAAAGGGTTATGATATGATGACACTTCTGAAGATTTTCATAAATATATTCAACGTTGTTCAGTATATTACAATCTAATCTAACCTCATCAATAGATCAAACTCTGGTAACAAAGTATTTCATGTGACATAATCTGTCTTAGACTTCCCGATAAGGGAATTTGATCCTTTGATAGATAACTGTTATCTTATGTTTGAGTTGAACTCACTGCGGTATTTTTGAAGACATATAATAAAGAAAATTATATCATAACGTTAGCAACGCGAGACAAACATACTAAATTAATTAACGATTGTAATAAAGTTAAATTTACAATAGCAAAGATTGTGAAAGTGATTGAAAAAGAGTACATTATTTATTATACGATCTTCTCCAGAGGGATCTACACTTTATAATGAGTAAATAGCTATATTAAACTGTCAAACACTAAGCAGTCACCGGTGACCGCAACCTATTGTTCTATAATTGTGTCTATAATGACGGTACTCGACGAGTTAAGAGACTTCCATCTAGAACATAAACATCACGCCTTTTATCCCCAAAGTACTGTACAATGTAACACCCACTGTTGATTATATTTATGTTATGAGTTCCATGTCATAGGTATATATTCTGAAAATTAATTGATTGTACCTCTAGGTATCATTTTCTAAAATGGACCATAATTTTGACATATGTACCTATGCATGATCAGTATGATGAAATAAGTATGCTTTTTTACAAATAATGCAAATGGTTTTCACGTGGCCAGTATTCTTGACAATGATATGGTAATCAATGTAGTAACTGAAATGACAGTAGACAGTGAGATAGTAAGATATAAAACACTTGTTTTCATTGATAAGAAAGTCTTATACATATGAGTAATGGTTTTGTCTTTGGACTTTGAACCTGAATACGTCCTAAATATGCAACCAGCCACCGCAGGGTGGACAATAGTATCCTTTAAATAAAGTTCAATTTTTAGTGGCTAAACGTCTGGTAATGCTATAGTGATAGCAACCTTGGTAATGACTGACTGATGATGGTGATGATGGGGAATGGCTTTGATTCTAATTAAAATAGCACCAATCACCCTCTACTTTATGGAAATCATATTAAATTGGAAAATGTGGATACTACATTTGATCTTGGTCCATCCTGTCTGATCCCTCTGGATAGTTCGGAGATTATAATCATGTTAATCGACTAACAAAATATAACTGGTTTATTTATTTGCTCATTTATTAAAAGTTTTATGACATGAAACTGTTTAAAAACATCAATTCGCCTTGGTTTTGTTCAGGTGTTGTTTTCCGATTCTGCTTTGTGCTAAGCAAAAATATTGCGATTACTTTTTTCATACACTTCATTTATTCCTATGTCTCTTACTCTATCATTACCTACAACAAATTCCCAAAATTTTATTGTGTTTTTTTAATAATAATTATGTTTTTTAATTATTTATAAAATTACCCGCATTGATATCATAATTATGCTATTTTTATCTGATAACTATTGCATCAGTCATACATGATAAAATACAAAAATGTCGAATTCAATGCATTGTTTAATGTAACGTGCACCTCTCGCTACCCCTTCGGGGATAAAAGCCATATGTTATGTTATGCATTGTTTCTTATCTGTTACACATTATTCCTTTTGCTAGTTTTCGTAAACATAATATTTTTATACACTTTTTACTCTTAATTCGAGACTAAAAACTAGTATTATTTTACCCTTGCCTAGATTTGGATGTCACAACGTCATAAAGTACTTTCTCATCATTTACTGATGAACTGAAATAAACGAATGAACTAAACAGCAATTGGGTCACACCCGAATACTGAAAGGTCCACTTTTCTTTTTCTGGTAGTTATCTTCCTTTTTTCATCCATATTTAAATTCAACACTTGTTTTGTTGTTAAGTGTTGTAATGCTAGTCTAGCAGGGGTTGTTTAACGACTAAAAATCGATATCTTATCGTATTACGTTAAATATTTTATCATGCAATGCATTATTACTGATACAGATGCCTTATAAATAACATTCACTCTGAATTAAATAATCGTATATAAATTATTTCACATTTAATAATGGCTCGATACAAGTTTGAAGGTGATTTTGAAAATATAACTGAAACACAATTAAATTTTATTAATAAAGTGGTACAAGAACAGAATTTGGATGTCGATAAAGTCGTGTTTCTTACTGTTGGAAAGCCTGGTGATAATTTTGGATCAAATGTGAAAAGAATTAGTATAGAAGGTAAGAAAGGAACCTTGAAAATGATTGTCAAAATAGCACCGATAGATGAAGTTCAACGGCAGATGACCTTAACTGAAATTCTATTTAAAAATGAACATTTCATGTATATGAATGTGCTACCAAAGTTTTTGTCTCTACAACGACATGCATTTGACCTGCAAACACCAGAGGAAGACTTCTTACAATTTGCAAGATGTTATGGATCTTTCACTGAAGCACCTAATGAGGTCATAATTTTGGAAGACTTATGCGAGTCGAAATACGTAATGATGGACAAGTTTAATTCACTGACTTCTGAATGTATGCAGAGTGTCCTAAAGTCCTTAGCAGTTTTTCATACTCTTTCTTATGCATTGAAGCAGCAAGAACCAGAAACATTTGCGTATTACAAAAATGAATTAGTAGATGTGTGGGATCTAATGGCTCACAACCCAGAATTCAAAATGCATACTGAAACCTTTATAGGAGTAGTCCAGGCAATATTGGATGGCGATGATAATAAAAAACTAGTGAAAGATAAACTATCTGATATAGTTCAGCTAATAATGAAATTAGCTAAATGGGAACAGAATAATAAACATTCTGTAATTCTTCAAGGTGATTCGTGGACAAACAATATCATGTTCAAAATTCAGGTGTGTATCGAATTTGGACTATTGAGAATGAGAATTCAATACATTTTAAACTTTATTCTTTAATTGCACAGGTGGTTGTTTATTACTCCGGTCAAAGTCAGATATCTAGTTAATATAAAACATAAAACACAATATTCTTCTTTTTCCAGGACGACAACGTACAGACGATCATGATCGATTTCCAAGGATCAGCCAACAGTAACCCAATGGTGGACGTCCTCTACGCAATCTTCAACTGCAGCGATCGGAATACCAGAGCACGTCACTACTACGAGTGGTTAGATTACTACTACTCAGAGTTAGACAAATCTTTATCAAACTTTGGTTTAAAATCCAATTACATTTATCCAAGAGACCAAATGGATGCGGATATGAAGAGATACGGAAAACTTATATTTGGAATGTCAATAATGTTAGCTAATGTTCTAATGAGGGATACGAATGAGGCATTAGAACTGATGGAAGCAATGAATACTACAGCTGATATGAATGAACTAATGGAGTCTATGGGAAACCAAACATTGAACAATGGAACTATAGTTCGCGTTAGGAGAAAAGTAGAAGAACTTATTGATTGTTTTACTCATTATGGATTAATTTGAACTGGATACCAAATCTATGGCCATCCTAATAAAATAACAAAAAAATTAAGCATGAAGTATTCGTTGTATTATTCTTGTCTTTATCCTTCAATAATGTCTTTTGGTTTCTACTTGATGAGGTACTCCGTATAATTAAGCCATTTTGTTTTCTCAATCCGTATTACCTCTTTACAGTTTTAAATCTTAATATTTACCTAGATTATTTAATTGTAAGGTGGTATACTTTACTCAATTTAATTTCATGGTTAAAATCTGCAAATATAACTAAACATACATTCATACATACGTATATATATGCACAACACATAATACATCAATACATAGTATAAAACAAAGTCGCTTTCGCTGTATGTCCGTATGTATGCTTAGATCTTTAAAACTACGCAACGGATTTTGATGCGGTTTTTTTTAATAGATAGAGTGATTCTTAAGGAAGGTTTATATGTATAATACATGCATATTGCACCCGTGCGAAGCTGGGGCGGGTCCCTAGTATTAGATAAGTGTTGTTTTCGAATCTGAATTCGGACTTTAGATAGGAACACAGAGATATCTTATTTAACATATTTATCTTCAAATTTAATAACGTCATATTTTTTATTTATTTTAGGTGTAAGTATATACTTTTATTCATAAATAATATGACCATTTCAGTAAGTTCAGTTTTTATATACATCAAAATTTTTATGTTAATTTATTTATACACATCGCAATGCTCAACGTGTATAGCATTGGTGGATATTTAACGAAAAAGCTTTATCTAATCAAATTACGCTAAACGGTTCATCATACGATACCTTATTACTGATACAGACGACACAGTATAAATGAAGTTTAATCAAAATTAAATAATCATACATAATTTGGCTTCCACACATTCAATCATGGCCCAATACAAGTTTGAAGGTGATTTTGAAAATATAACTGAACCTCAATTGGAGTTTATCAATAAAGTGATACAAGAACAGGATTTAGATGTCAATAAAGTAGTATTTCTTCCTGTTGGAAAACCTGGTGATAATTTCGCATCAAATGTGAAGAGACTCAGTATAGAAGGTAATAATGGAAACATGAATATGATCATCAAAATAGCACCATCAGGTGAAGCTCAACGCATGACGTTTATGTCTGAAATTGTATTCAAGAACGAACATTTAATGTATGTGGTAATACTGCCTAAGTTCGTGTCCCTACAAAAAGAAGCAGGCGTACCAGAAGAAGAACTTCTACGATTTGCAAAATGCTACGGATCTTTCAATGAAGCACCAAACGAGGTCATAATTTTGGAAGACTTGTGCGAGTCTGATTATGTAATGTTGGACAAATTTGAATCACTGTCAGATGAATGTATGAAGAGTGTACTAAAATCTTTTGCAATTTTTCATTCTCTCTCTTACGTGCTAAAGCACAAAGAACCAGACACATTTGAATATTATAAAAGTCAATTGTACGATGTATGGAGTCTAATGGCTGAGAATCCAGTATTCAAAACACATACTGAGGTATTTGTAATGACAGTCCAAGCCTTATTGGAAGAAGAAGAGCATAAAAATATCGTGAAAAGTAAATTAGCTGAAGTGTTCAATTTACTGACTAAACTAAATAAATGGGAACAGAATAATAAACATTCTGTCATTCAACAAGGCGATGCGTGGACAAACAATATCATGTTCAAAATTGGGGTAAGTATTTGCATTTCCATTTTTACGAAGTTGAAATAATTAAAATATACTCTCTTTGACTTGACTGGTAGATTGAAAAAATAAAGTACATAGTTAAAAATATTAAAAATAAAAAGTCATTTTTGTACACTTGCACTCCAAGTTTCAGAGGCAGTTTTAAAAAAAAATTGCTGTGTGATTAGATCCTGTAAACGTATATTAAATAATTTTTGGAGCTCAGACAGTTGTTGTATAATTTGTCGCATACAGAGCCGCTGTCATTAGCCAGTACATTTTAATCATTTTGATAACGACCCAATTCCGCGTTGACGTCATTGATTAGTATCGAGTTACACAGAAAAATATAATGATAAGTTTGAAATGTTTTCCTTAAATATACTGATTTTGATCGACGGTATTTTTTCAATAGAATATTCCACAGTGAAGGGTCACTGTGGAATATTCTATTGAAAATCTGTATATACCTATATATTTTCAAATTAGTAAATGAGAATGGTAATTTACCTTCGATCAAGAATTGTACTATTGATCGAAGTAATTTATTTAGTTTTGAAGTTTATGTTTATGTTATCTTTTATTACCAAACTCCAAAATCATGTCCTTCAGGATTACATCACACCAATTTAACATTATGATAATCTTCTATTTTCAGGAGGACAAGGTGCAAACAGTCATGCTCGATTTCCAAGGATCAAAGAACAACAATCCTGTAGCTGATCTCCTCTACGTCATCTTCAACTGCACCGACCATGAAACAAGAGCCAAACACTTCTTCGACTGGATAGATTACTACCATGCGGAATTAGAAAACTCCTTGTCGAACTTTGGCCTTAAAGCCAACTACGTTTACTCAAGGGATCAATTAGACGCAGATGTTAAGAGATACGGTAAACTAACGTTCGGAATGTCTGTGATGTTGGCTAACCTTTTAATGAGGGATACAAATGAAGCCTCTGAGCTGATGGAAGCCATGAAAACTACAGCTGATATGAAAGAATTAGTGGAGTCTATGAGCAGCCAAGTACTGCAACACGAAACTATAATGCGTGCTAGGAAGAAAGTTGTAGACCTTATTACGAGTTTCTCAGAATTTGGCTTGTTTTAAAAGAATTGTTGTTTCAGTTCAATCATTCGTAATACAAATATTCCTATTCATAATAGTAAAATTAAAATAGCATAACTAGAGTAGGTAACTTTCTTTAGATATCGGTTGTCCTTTGTCCGGCCATCCATAAATAAAAGACTTGGTCTATGATGATGCGCAAGATACGAGACGAGGATGCTCTGTGTAATTTAAGCTATTGTATCTAAATTATATTTTTTACTACTTACGATGTGTGTTTCATTCATAGTAAAAACATTAAACAAATCGAGAAAGTAAAGTTTTTACAAACAGAACTATGTCCTTTATGCAAGTACAATTGCCAGGTTAAAGGACTCGGGTTTGATTCCTATGTGAGATCAGTGTATGGCAAATAAGTTCACGCGTTTTATATGAGACTTATATGATAGTGAAATGAGGGTCGTGTATTAAATATTCCATGTAGTACTCCTTTGCTAGCCTTACAAGAATATAATGCTGTAACGTTATGATCTGTGAATGTAGATGATAAAGTAAAATAAAGCGTACTATATTTTTCACAGCTACAGACGTTTTAGAAATTCAAAAATTTATCAAAGAAATGCTTTTACAAAGTCTACCACAAAACTAACTAATGGCCTCTATATTTTATACATTATAAACAACAGCGACTGTAGTTCTATTTGCGCGTCACAGGTGGCGGTGTTATATATAAAGTACTTTATCAGAATGTATTAAGAAGTTCACCCCCAGTATACGTAAACAAACCGGTATCAACTGATAAGGTGTGAAAAATTTTGATAATGCCGATAATATAACAATATTTTCATGCTACGCAAAATAATACATTAATAGATAGTAAATAGTAATTCATTTAGTGGTTTTATTAAGTAAATACAAATCATCATGAGAATATTATTTAACTTTCTTTGAAATAAATTATATATTCTAAAACAAGTCATGTGTTGTGAATGACCATGTTAGTTGAATGAGTCCATAAAATTATGACCGTTTTCTAAAAGTGTTATAACAATATGACGAGCGAAGTCAGAAATATAAATAAAATAGATTAAAAATAATTTGCCGTTTTCTTAAATTGCACAAAATCTTTTTTTAAACGTTTCCCCACTCTATTACTGATTGACACTATCTTGTGTCGTGACTCGTTTACAAGTTCACGTAGAGATGATACCCAGATCCGAAATAAAATTAGTGGATCACAGAAAGAGTTGCTCCGTGCGGGAGTCTAATCTTGGGTTCAATTCCTGGCTCGGGCAAAGTATTACTGGGTTTCTTAAAAATTCTCAGTAGTAGCACGGAGTCTGGAAATGTGCCCGGTATATGGCAATTGGCTAACCCCATGTAATAGGTACATGGGAATGGGACTCCTAACATTAATTGTGAAAAGTGGGTGTTACATTGTACAGTGGCATTAAGTGCCGTAATGTGCACCTCTGCGTACCCCTTCGAGGATAAAAGGCGTGATGTTATGTTATGTTATGGTAATTTTGTATTACCATAACATGCGATATACAAAATATTTCTTAAGTAAGTAAAATTGATCTCATAAAGTTAAATGTACAGGCATTTAACTTCTAGGATAATCCTGTATCGTAATAATGAATGAGATAAAAAATACTTTACCTTCATCTAAAATACAACTCAAACTAAGTTTAAAGTTACATGCGGTCAGTAAACTTTCGCTCATTCAATGAGCAGAAAGATTCTTAAAAAGAAAATGTCTTGAATACTTATACTACACGTAACAAAATAAAAAAATAGGCACATTGACTTACTGGGAAGTGAAACTAACACTCAGTTTCTTCGTAAAGCTTTTCAAGAATCACAATGTCAAAATTGTGAACATGATGAATACTTATTGAAATATTTATGACACAATGATACCAATACAACATACCAGTAATAATGAAGCTTCAATTAATAATATCTAATCTTAACTCACATTTATAAAAGGTACGGTGACAGGACATTTGTGATCCCCGTGGGGTATAAATACTTTAATATGCATTAAATATAATCATTGAGCGACAACCACTAGTAAAAATGGCGCAGTTCAACTTTGAAGGAGATGTTGCAGGACTAAGTGACAGCCAATTAGAATTCATCAACAATCACTTTCAAATTTTGTTCAGACACCACTGTCTGAACAAAATTTGAAAGTGAAGAAGGTGGTCTTCGGACCAATTGGAAAAACTGGTGATAATTTCATGTCAAACGTGAAGAGAATCAGCATTGAAGGGGAAGATGGAAACTTGAAGATGGTCGTCAAAATCGCGCCGAAAGAAGAAGTCATTCGAGCCTCCACTCATACCCAAGTAATGTTCACTAATGAGCATATCATGTACACGGAAGTGCTACCTAAGTTTGTGTCGCTGCAGAAAGCAGCAGGAGTACCAGAAGAAGAACGTCTAAGATACGCAAAATGCTACGGATCTCTAAACGAAGCACCCGATGAAATGATATTATTAGAAGACCTGAATGAATTAGACTTTACCATGCTGAACAAGTACGAGTCTCTTTCCAATGAATGTGTTATGAGCATTTTAAAGAATTTTGCAACACTGCATTCTCTTTCTTATGCATTAAGACATAAGGAACCAGCCGTATACGAGCAGTTTAAGAATAAATTAATAAACACTTGGCCATTGATGCCCAAGAGCCCAGTATTTGCCACGCAAATCCAACACGTAGAAATGGCAGTTCTATCGTTGCTTGATGATGAGACTCATAAGAGCCTGATTAAGGGTAAATTGGAAGGAATGTTCAAATTGTTGACGAAGTTGGCGAAGGAAGAGGATGGAAAACACTTTGTGATTCAACAAGGTGATGGGTGGACCAACAATGTTATGTTTAGGTTTCAGGTAAACAATATATTAATTTTTTTTATAATGTAAGATACGGAACCGCGGAGGACTTAACGGGTTGCTCGAAGTGCAAGAGTAGGAATGGAATGGTTTTAGTCAGTAAGAGTCTGACACTCCCTCTCACTTCACCCGGGAGGGAGGAGGCATTAGATGATTTTCCTCCCTCACAAAAAAGACTGATTGTATTACTTTCCTCAAAAGCATATTACTGAATTGATAGAAATGGAAGCTTTGTATTGATAATATAATATGCTTCATCGTGCATCTCCACACAACTCTCTGGAGGTATATACGTTTTGTGGAGAATAAATGTTTTGATTTTTTTGTAATAACTGTAATCTTTTAAAATATTAATGCTATTTTAGGTGACGGTGTTAAATTACATTATTTATCTGTTTATAGGGTGACAAATTGATGCAGTCGATCATGATTGACTACCAGGGATCTGGCAACAACAGGCCTGTATTCGACCTTCTCTACATGATTTTCAACTGCACCGACCATGAGACGAGGTTCAAGTACTTCTATGACTGGCTGCAGTACTACCACACTGAGTTAGACAGATCCTTATCCAACTTTGGTTTGAAAGCCAACTATTTCTACCCAATGGATCAACTAGATGTCGATTTGAAGAGATACGGAAGATCAGTTTTTGGTTTGTGTCTGATGCTGTCAAATATCTTGATGAGGGATTCGAAAGAAGCTGGAGTTATTATGGAAGCTCTAAAAAGTGGTGGTATTGGGAAGACGATGGAGGCATTCAGTAGTCAGTCATTGCAATCTGAAAGTGTGGTTCGTGGTAAAAAGAGAATTGTTGGACTGATCGAAAGCTTTACTCAGTTCGGTTTGTTATAGGTTTCAAAATGTGTCTTAGGATTATTAGTCAGCAAAAATGTACTATGTATAACAATTTATTATTGATTTAGTTTGTGAATTAAAAAAATTGTTTGACAAAATTGTTGAACTATTTAAAAGCCATCGCTTTCCCCTCGCTCCAATTTTTAAGGTCCATAGCTTAAGAGTGTATTGAATAAGTACTGAGTGGTCAGGTAATAGGGTAGAGTCCTGATTTTTAATTTAATGTTCGTTTGGTAGATTATTTTAAATGAATAGACACGTATTTTTTATTTTATTACAGAAACAAATACTTGCGACCATATATTGATTTGAAATGTCGCGTGACGTCACTTCTATGAACATTTTATACGTTGAAATGACGTTTTAGTCCCCACTTCTAAACTTTGATTCGTTTTATCTAAGTATTGTGTTAATACACGGCAAAATAAAAAAAAATACGTATCTTTACGGACTAATTAGATTTCTAATTTTCATACCCTGTCACCATTCCAATTAAGAGTGATTTAAAAAAAATGTATACAATAATTTAAACAAGATTGTTTAAGCACAAAACAATATCAAAGACTTATTTACCGAAAACACAACTTTATGATAAATTATTTTGTTTAATAATTCTACGTCTATTTGAAAACATGTAGATAGGCTACATGTTCTGGAGATACATGAGAAACAGTTTGTTCAAAGCTAGTTTTTTAATTTTTGCACTGCCTTAACCAAACTGTAAATAACAATATTTAACACGGTACTATTTGTCCTCAACAACCCATTAAAGGTAATACTCCATTCTTAGTTTTACAATATTCATGTTTTTGACGCCTATGACCAATAAAAATAGACATAGGTATATTACACCCATTCATACTTAGTTACTCAAAACCACGTCGACTTACATAACATCAAGTCGTGGAGTAACACAGAATACTTATTCTTTATTATCTCTATTTGTTTTTCCATGTACACAGAGTGCATTTTGATAATAACAATATAACACATATTCTTAGTAGAATGAATAAACACGTAATGTTACATTAAAAAAAAAAAAAAAAAAAAAAATACCATTAAACATAAAAATTCTTCAATGATCTCATTTGTATCAACTCTTTTTTTATTTAATTTTTAAGCAGCAGGCCGAAAATTTAATTTGCCTTAGCTTTCCACCGACAGCTTCGTTCATATTATTATGAATTACTTGACTTTTAGTCCTATGTCCCCTAGATGGGGCAGAGGGCATCTACAGAGGTTCTCCATCTCGATCGGTCTTGAGTTTCTCGTTTCACCTCGTTCCACGTCATTTCGATACCTGCCGCCTCTGCCATCCCAGTACGACGCCAGGTTTGCCGAGGACGGCAACGCTTCCTTTTTCCCAGGGAATTCCAATAATGGGCTCGCTTGAAAATATGGTCGGGATCCCTTCGGAGCGTATGGCCTATCCATTTCCATTTGCGACGTTTGATATGACGGTCGATCGGAGTTTCGCAGCATCTCTCCAAGGCTCTGTATTGGATATGGTCTCGGGCAGAAAATACCGAGGGAGGAAATGACGTAACTCACAGAATATACATCCCCACCATATAGATGGTTGGCAGGCCACAACTGTGCGTTTCTAACGATGCTTTCTGCCTCGCACAGCAAAACTGTGGCATGATCTATCGTCGGCGGTATTTCCGAACCGATACGACCTTCAAATCTTCAAGAGAAGAGCGTATTCCTTTTTAAAAGGCCGGCAACGTACCTTTGACTCCTCTGGTGTTTGGGGTGTCCATGGGCGGCGTTGATCGCTTACCATCAGGTGATACGTCTGCTCGTTTGCCTCCTATACCATAAAAAAAACATAAGCTTCGGTTGACGAAAACTTTGTTCACGTGTACTTTACAATTTCCATTGAGTTGAGCCTGATTCCGTAGTAGCTAAAATTGGGATGCAAATCATGTAAACATATTAATGTTATGTATTTGAAAAGTAAGTTTAATGATACAGAAATAATTAGACCTTTCTTTTTTGGAGTCTTACTAATATTATAAATGCGAAAGTTTGTTTGTTTGTTTGTACTACTTCATGGCGGTCAAAACGGCTAAAGGGTTCGAGATGAACAGGCAAACGGGAATATTATGGTCTGTAATAACACATGGACACTTTTCATTTTACGCTCTTAATATTTGCAGAAAGAATTATTAAAATAATAAAATTATTATTGCTGCTGTCCCTTTAATAAAGTGCTTTTGCAGCTATGAAGCCACAAAACTTGAGAATTTAAATAATGCTCAAATAACAGTAACATTCAATTACAACATTTCTTTTATTAAAAAAAAAAAAAATGCACTATTTTACACTAAATATACAATAACATACCACACGGACCACATTCATTCTGAATTCATAAAAAAGCACATTAAAACCCAAAAATTAAAAGTCTAAAATAATAAAAATCTCGACAATACTCAATTGATCACAGTTTGCAAACTAATCATGATAAAAAACCACATAATATAAACAAATCAATTAAATTACATGATTAATAGAACCTTCCATATTTTATATTAACCCTAACTCGATAAAACTTTCAATAATCCCCGTGATTCGCTTTTTAGCTCGAGCTGCAGTGTCCTTTGGTATTTCAGTATTCGCCAGCACTTCAATGGCCTCATCAAAACTAGTATTGTTAAGGGTCTCCATCATCTCAGCAGCCTCTTCTGTATTCCTTGTAAAAATATTGGTCAACATAATAGATATCGCGAATAATAATTCTTTGTATTTCTTTATATCAGCATCTAATTTCCTTCTTGGATAAACTGAATCTGCTGACAAATCAAAGTAGGATAAGGAACGGTCAAGTTCTGAGTGGTAGTAGTCTAACCAGTCGTAGTAGTGCTTTGACCTTGTCTCATGGTCAGTGCAGTTAAAGATCATAAAAAGGAGATCCATTACAGGGTTGCCGTTCTTTGATCCTTGGTAGTCAATCATTATTGATTCTACAAGATTTTGTCCCTGTAACCAAATATAAAATCAATAAATAGTTCATTTAAGTACAACTTTTTGCAGTAGGTTGAAAATATGAACGGACCAAATAGCGTCAGATATCGAATAGATTTCGCACATTTTTCTTAGTTTTGAGTAATAAAAATATTTAGTTATATCTAACAAGGATGTACAAAGCCAAAAAAAAACACACATAAAATCACGCCATATGGGATATAGCGCATACGCCATATACGCCGAAGGAGTAAGCTGAGGCACATTATGGCACTTAATGTCACTGTACAATAAATAACACCCACTTCTCATGTTATGAGTCCCGTTCCATGTAATAGGGGGTGAGTCTGTTGCACAATTCCAAACTCCGTGGTACCACTGAGAATAACAAAAAATATCTCAGTAATACTTTACTTGATCCGGGAATCGAACCCGAGACCCGTTGCCTAGCAGTTGCACTTGCGACCACTCATCCGAGGCACGAAACGAGGTAGTCAAACTAAAAAAAAAAGTGAAACGAAAATCAAAATGTCACTCACCTTGAACTTAAACATCATATTGTTTGTCCAAGCATCGCCTTGTTGTATAACCGATGATTCATCAGTTAAAGCATTCTCTGAAAGCTGCAGCATCAGTTCAAATATTTTCTCGATTTTACTCCTTACTATATTCTTGTGTTCGTCATTATCAAGAACCGATAGCAACATTATTGTGCCGTTTGCGAATTGTTGTGTTAACACTGGATTCCTTGCAAGGATATCCCATAAATTAATCAATTTGGTTGTAAACTGATTGTATGTTTCTGGTTCTTTAGTTTTCAACACGTAAGAAAGAGAATGCAGCGTCGCAAAGTTTTTTAGGATGCTCCTTACACACTCGTCCGACAAGGACTTAAACTTATCCAACATAATAAATTCTGATTCATTCAAATCTTCTAACATTACCACTTCGTTAGGTGCTTCACTCAGAGCTCCGAAGCATTTAGCGTATCTTAAATGTTCTTCTTCTGGTACTCCTGCTGCCTTCTGCAGTGACACCAGCTTTGGTAACACCTCCGTGTACATAAAGTTCTCATTGTTAAATGATATTCCTGTATTCGTGCTCTGACGAACAAATTCATTTTGAGAAGCTATTTTAACAACCATCTTGAGGCTTCCATTTTCTCCTTCTATGTTGATTCTCTTCACATTTGCAACAAAATTATCACCAGCTTTACCAACTGGTTGGAAAACTACTTTCTTGACACTCAATCCTTGTTCTTCAATCACTTTATTGATGAATTGTATTTGGTGTTCGTTTAAGTTGCCAACGTCGCCTTCAAAGTTGTGTTGTGCCATTTTGATTATAATATTTTGTTCAAAACTGAAGTTTTAATTAAGGTCGCCATTCATTTATAGTGAGTTGTATCTATATCTATATCTATTTAATTTGTATTGTCATTGCGGTTTAAGATAAGATAGCAATATTATTATTTTTAGTTGATTATATTCTAGTCATTAGGCTGTCTGATTTCTTCAGATACAGACTGTCTGATAAATTAATTTTCACATTTAAGTCTTTGTTGTTTGACCTGTGAAATAAAAGACTTATAGGCATGTTAAAAGGGTTGCTTTTTGTAAAATAGCGGAATGCTTAATTTATAAAATGCTGCATTTATTGTTCATTTGGTGATAGAAATTATAAAAGCTACTGACGTACGTTTATTTGCGCCCGAAATTATTCAAATCAAATTCAACCCAAAACTTTTATATTATGATCAATTTTGGACACTACTTTTTGTTAAAAAATTTGGAAAACAAAACTTGTTTGGTAACCAGCCATTGTTGCTTGCGTTACACAATCATACTATTTATTGCTCATACGTAAAACGTAGGCGCTTGTTATTTATTCATACAATATTGGTAATCTGATTAAATATTCTTACATATTATATTACCTTTCATCCTCATCATCAGCTGGTGCAATACACACATTAACAGAACAAAAACTTACACATCGAATGAACTTTCATTCACTTTACCACTCAATTTTTTTTTACTTTTACTAGGGTTTTCTCGTTAAGTTAAGTTGGCTGATATTATATTATGTTTGTATCACCTAGACAAGAATTTTGTAACAAAAATCGAAAACACATCAAATTTTCTTTAGATCCAAAGTTACACCACGCAACTAATTAAAGGAAATAAATTAGCACAAGTACGGCACAGTCACTGCTGCTTGTATACAATATACTTAGATTTTATATAGCCATTCCAAGGTCACATATGTATGTATAAGCGCAAAAACCAGACCAGGAGGTGCCGTTTCGTGATTTTTTACCATAACACAATGTATTTATAACATAATTCAATTTATTTCTAAAAGAGTAGACAGAAAAGAGAATTTATGATTTCATTACATGTAAAAAAGTCTTTCCAAAAGCCTAGACGCGGCGGGGATTTTAGTTTTGTAATCTATAAGTAATGATGATGAAACAGAAAAGCAATGATAGGTATGAATGGACATTGTTCAATGATTGTTTGTAATTTAGGCTTAGCGTTCGCGTTATCAATTATAATAGCGACCACACGGAATAAAGATTAAATAAAGCCATTTCAGTATGATTCGACGTAAATAAGCAGTGTATCAAAAATCATTATGATTTTCAAATTTAAAGGAACTAATTTAAGAATGAAACCTCACACCGATTGAAACAATGGGACCACTTTAAACATTATCTAATCTGCAAACGATCCGGTACATAGTATGTACAACTGATGATACAACAAGCTATAAATAAACCAAATACAAACACAGAGCTCCATTCAGTTTTAGGAAGCTGCAAACATGGCACGCTACAACTTCGAAGGAAATTTCGCGAATCTAAGTGATCGCCAAGCAGAGTTCATTAATGAAGTGATAAGAAAACAAGATTTGAATGTCAACAAAGTCGTTTTCCATACAGTTGGGAAGGCTGATGATAATTTCATGGCTGATGTAAAACGAATCACTATAGAAGGTGACAAGGGAAGCATGAAGATGATTGTGAAGATTGCATCTGCAAATAAAAATGTTCGTGCATTCTCGTTAAGTGAATACTTATTTGGTAATGAGCATATTATGTACATGGAAGTGCTACCTAAGTTTGTGTCACTGCAGAAAGAAGCAGGAATACCAGAAGAAGAACATCTAAAGTACGCAAAATGTTATGGATCTTTGAACGAGGCACCTAATGAAGTTGTAATATTAGAAGATTTGAATGAATCAAATTATAAAATGCTGAATAAATATGAATCTCTATCTGATGAATGCGTTAGAAGCATTCTAAAGAATTTCGCAATTCTCCATTCTTTGTCGTTCGTGTTGAAACATCATGAACCAGAGACATATGAAGCTTACAAAGAAAAACTTCACAATGTGTGGAATATCAGAGCTGGTTTGCCAGGAGTGACACAACAATTTCAGAGTCTCGAAAATCTAATTTTGTCAACACTAGATAAAGAAAAATATAGAAACGCAATTAAAAATACAGTTACTAGTTTACCTGAAAATATGTTAAAGGCATCAAAAGTCTGGGACAATCAGTATTCCATCATTCAACAAGGCGATGCTTGGACCAATAATATCATGTTCAAGTTTGATGTAAGTAGACGTTACGTAATTACAAGTGTCGTTTTGGCTTCTTATTTTATAAATTTACTTACTTCACAACCTAACTGTGAAGATAATAACTATAATTGGTACCATGGAGATTGCATCTGATTGATTTTTCATTCAGTTAACAAATGCTATTTTTCGACTAGTTATCGGTGCCCATGCCAATTAGTTTTGACAGCATTTGACATAATTGTAGTTATAATAAAATAGTAGATTTTTCAATTATTTAAAAATCAATAACTTACATAATTATATCTTAGACTAACACACGATATGATTATTTCAGGGTGACGAACTACAAGAATCAATAATGATAGACTACCAATTATCAAAGGTCAGCAATCCAGTCATTGACCTTCTCTATATGACCTTGAACTGCACCGACTATGAGACCAGAACCAAGAACTTTTACAGCTGGTTGGACTATTACCACTCCGAGTTAGACAAATCCTTGTCATACTTCGATTTGAAAGCTGATTTGATTTATCCACGGGACCAGTTAGATGCTGACATAAAAACCTACATCAAATTATTATTTCCTATGTCTCTTATGCTGGCTAATCTTTTAATGAGAGATGCAAACGAAGCTGCGAAGATGAAAGAAGCTATGGTAGACAGTGGTTTAGAAGGAGTTACTACGTCGATGGTGAATCAGGCAGTTCAGAATGATACGTTGCTTCGAACAAGGAAAAAAATCGAGGGTCTTATTGATAGTGTCACTGAGCTAGGTTTACTCGACAATTCGAATTGAATTTAGTTTTAGTATGGTTGTGTTTTTGTATACTAACATAATTATACTAGATGAAGTCATATGCGAGAAGTACATATATAATGTAATTAATCGGACATTCTGTGTCTGTTGTAGATGATTGTTTAGAAATAATGTAAATAGTATGACTTGTTAAATATTAATATCTTTATTTTGTTTGAGGCTTTAAAATGAAATGCAAAAAAACATTTCATTTAATTATAATATTAATGATATCTATCGGAATACAACGAAGTACCATATCAAGTATTACAAGATCATCTGTCATACAATAAAAACTTTTCAATTAAGAGTTAGAGTTAAGTATTGTGTATTATTTGTTATGTATCTATCGTACGTATAGGTATATGTATTTTATTGAGATATATTTATTTAATACATTATTTATCGGTTTTATTTTGTGTATGTAGTTTTAAGTACTTATAGGCATAAATTTTGGTAATTTTTGTTTTTTTATTTATTCATGCCATGTTACACGCGTTGTCTTAGTTTTTACTGTTTCGCCTTTCGAAGGACTGTAGGAAGAGATTCCTACGGGAATATGTAGTACCTATGTACCTCCAATTTATTTATATATGTGTTCTTTTGTGTACTGTGTGTGTGTGTTGTGCATAAATAAAAAAATAAAAAAAGTTGATTAAGAATGTGATCCTAATATCAAGCCACTTAAAGCATCCTTGATAAAAGCAGCGGCCGATATTGTCACGGATCTCGTGTGTGGCCTCTATTAAAAAAATCAGGGGGTTAATTTAAAAAAAAAAACGTAATAACCATAATTATATATATTTTGTTAGGTTTCTTTTAGTATTATAGGTTATTATTGAATCAAACACGTCATAATTATTTCATCATAATCACTTGACGGTACTTATGACCTGACTATTAGTATATCCTACGAGCTCAAAACAATATTTACAAAAGCAAAACTTGTATTTTTTTATTTTCCCATTAAATAATGCTATGTAAAACTTTATTTATTAAACCTAAACTGACATTACAAACGCAAAACAAAGTTGAAACGAGTAGATAAATATAAAACACAGGATTAAATACAAATGATTAGTTATAAAATATAATCTGTGGGGCGCGTGGCCTATCAATGAGTTTTTGATAAAAGAAATTGGCATAATCATCGTTGCTCGCATGTTTTAATCTGAATAATTAATCATATAATATTGAGAAATAATTTGCAATGTCAACTTTAGTCAGCAGCAGTATTGTATACAGTATTTCATCTGACATCATACATAGTAATTTTAATAGAAATGCACAAGAAAGACCTAAGATTAAAGAAGAATAAAATCGTACTAATATTATAAATGTGTCAGTTTGTGTGTTTGTATCTCAAACTCAAAAGCATTTATTTCAATTAAACCATAATTCGGCAATTTTGAAACGTCAACAAATATAAAATAAATAATAGTCTGCAGTCCATCCGTCAGTGTCATTGAAGCTAGGCTTTTTTTTTTTTTAAGGGGGGAAAATCATCGAATGACTGAGGTATGCTTGTTGCTCACTCACGTCAAAACGGCTAAAGAGATCGGAATTAAATTTGGAAATCTTTGTTCCTATATGTTTTCCAGACCAAATATGCACTTTTTATTCCACAAGAACTCGGACGAAGTCGCAGATAGAAGCTAGTTCCCCAATAAAGTCATAATTGGTCTTCTACTGGCCTCAGAAAAAACAAATCTGCTTATTTTCGGTTATTTATTTATGCTGCTACACTTAATTTTATTTCTTTGCCTTTATAATAGTAATTACTTATCGTTAGCAATCTAAGAATAATATAAAATTTCTATATGCCTGATCCTGAACTTGCATGCTTGTAAAAAGATATGAAAATTCAAAACTGTTTGAATATGTCATTGTGCTCAAAGATACAATAAAAAATAAGTAAGTGGAATTGCCGAGCACAGAGCCTTGAGTTTGATACTGAGAAAGGACAAAGAATTGATAGGGTCATTCAGACAACCCTTCATCATTTTTCCTAACTCGAAGAACCTTAACCAGATAAAGGTACCACAAGGTTACGATTAAGGTATGAAGGTAGCTTATGCTCTTTGAATATTTCTCAAGTTTAAACAGCAGTTGGAGGACACGTAACGATTGTTGATGACGTTGCAATACGTGATGACGACGTCATTCGTTTGATAATCCGATAAATAACTCCAAAATACATTATCCACAGTCAGATTCTACAGAAAATTCTAATAAAACAGACAGTGAATATGCAAAAAAGACACTCATATCTTATCTAAACGTACATCAAAGTTAATTATCACTCTTCAGTACTATAAATTTACGAAAATAAAAATTCCGAAGCAGTATCAAATACAACCATGGGGCAGTACAAATTCGAAGGAGACATTTCAAGTTTAAATGAACGCCACATAGCGTTCATGAGTACAGTGATTTCTCAGCAAGATATAGAAGTTAAAAAAGTGACATTTCATTCAGTTGGGAAGCCAGGTGACAATTACGTAGCAAATGTGAAAAGGATTCACATAGAAGGCACTAATCGAAGCATGAAAATGATTGTGAAAATAGCACCTACTAGCGAAGTATTTCGTAAGTCACTTCATGTGGACATTGCATTCAATCGTGAACAAACCATGTACACTGAGGTGCTACCTAAGCTAGTGTCACTGCAGAAAGCAGCAGGAGTACCAGAAGAAGAACGTCTAAGATACGCAAAATGTTATGGATCTCTAGACGAATCGCCTAACGAAGTGATAATGTTAGAAGATCTAGGTGAACTGGATTTTGTAATGTTGGATAAGTACACGCCCTTACCTGACGAATGTGTAAGGAGTATGTTAAAGAACTTTGCCAACCTTCATTCTCTTTCATATGTGTTAAAGAAAAAAGAACCAGATACTTTTTATAACTTTACAAGTAAGATGAAAAGTCTGTGGCCGCTTCTTGCTGAAACTCCAGAATTTGCAGCAAATCTTGAACATATTGAAGGAGCAGTACTGTCTGTGCTAGATGACGATGTGTATAGAAGCGTAGTCAAAAATAAAATACCAGATTTATTTAACACTTACTTGAAGCTGGTGAAAGAAGATGTTGGCAAAAACGGAGTAATTACTCAAGGCGATGCTTGGACAAACAATATCATGTTCAAATATGTGGTAAGTATTCAATAAAAAGAATCAAATTGTTCAATAATCAAATATTTCGCTGTGTACCTAATCTTCTTAAGCTCTTAAGCTCTTTAACACTTCAGAAATAATTGATTAAGAAAATTTAATAAATTGTAAGGTATTGGTATTAAATAAAATCTATGCAACTAAAGGTCTACTAGTTTTCAGCCCCACCGGGACTCGTATTCATGAGCTGCATGCTAATGATATTAAGCTGCAAATTTAAAACTAGTACAACTTTTCTCGAATAGTAGGCAGAAATTCATATGGATTTTAATGACTTCAGTCATTTTTTATATGATTTTATTATTTACAGGGAGACACATTGGTTCAGTCAATAATGATTGACTATCAAATATCGTTCCACCATAGTCCAGCGATGGATCTCCTCTACATGATCTTCAACTGCACAGACCATGAGACCAGGTCTAAGAACTTTTACGACTGGATAGACTATTACCATTCAGAATTAGATAAAAACTTGTCAAATTTCGGCTTGAAAGCTAACTTAGTTTGTCCAAGAGATCTCTTGGATGCTGATATCAAAAGAATTGCTAGACCTATGATGGGTGTTTCCTTACTATTGTTTAACATGTTATTAAGAGATGCTAAAGAAGCAAGCGTTGTAGTGGAAAATATGAATGCTGGTGGATTCTTGGAAGCAATTAAATCAATGAGCGGACAAGAATTGCAAAAGGAAAGCTTAGCTCGTGGCAAAAAGAGAATGGAAGATTTGATAAATAGTTGCATTCAATTAGGTTTCATATAATCATTAATAGAAAATATTTAAATCTGGTCATAACGAAACTAAATACTCATGGAATGAAGTCAAGTAACTTTTACTTAAGAAATGTATTAATAAATGTTAAAAAGAGTATAGAAAGTTTTATTCGGTCTAACTCAATGTAACTATTTCCGTCCTAGGACATCGAATTTTTGTCAGATGACAACGCTTTGCGATGGGCGATTAGAGAGTTAAAGTTGGTAAACTTAAGAAATAGAACAGGTTTTTCTGAGGTTACATTTTTAACTCACATTATTTTTATTTATTTTCATTTAGATCTCACATTTTTAAAATTTCTCAAAAAAGAATATATGTTATACGGATTGCATTTATGCATTATGATATATTTTGACACCACAATGTAGGTTAATTTCATCATTCTTTGAAAAATTTGATAAATAACTACAAACACCAACTATTTCATTTTTATTGGTAACGATGAATAAGCAAAAACACTAACCGTTATCTAATCAAAATATACATCATGTTATCTAAAAGTTTAATTATTTTATCATTTATTCGAACTATAAATACAAGAACTCAAACATTCTAACACAGTTTAAAAAATAATCATGGCACAGTACAAATTTGAAGGAGATATTTCAAGTTTAAATGAACACCATGTGGTGTTTATAACTAAAATTATTTCTGAGCAAGATATACAGGTCAAAAAAGTGACATTTCATTCAGTTGGTGAAGCAGGTGACAACTATGTGGCAAATGTGAAAAGAATTAACATAGAAGGTGCTAATAGAAGCATGAAGATGATTGTGAAGATCGCTCCTACAAACGAAGTAGTTCGTAAATCAATGCATATTGAGGCTGCATTCAATCGGGAGCAAATTATGTATACAGAAGTATTACCTAAGTTGGTGTCACTGCAGAAAGCAGCAGGAGTACCAGAAGAAGAACATCTAAGATACGCAAAATGTTACGGATCTCTAGACGAAGCACCACATGAAGTGATATTATTAGAAGACCTAAGTGAATCAGATTTTGTGATGTTGGACAAACACACATCTTTAACTGACGAATGTGTGAAAAGTATTTTAAAAAACTTTGCTAACCTACATTCACTTTCATACGCGTTGAAGGCAAAAGAACCAGACACTTATGATCAGTTTAAAAGTACATTACGTAGTCTGTGGCCACTTATTGCAGAAACTCCAGAATTTGCATTAAATATCGAACATATTGAAGGAGCAGTACTGTCTGTGCTAGACGATGAGATATATAAAAGTGTAGTCAGAAATAAAATGTCAGATATGTTTAAATCCATGGTAAAAGTAACAAAAGGAGATGCGGGCAAACATGGAGTGATTATTCAAGCCGACGCTTGGACAAACAATATCATGTTTAAATATGTGGTAAGTGTAATTCCACCTAGTAGTTAAAATACGTCATTGAATAAACATTATAATATATTATAGTGTTATCTTCAACTTTCTTGTTATTCTGCTTCGTAAGATCCAAACTAATCCAAAAAATTATTTAACGCTGCTGTTATGATTGTATGCCTAAATTGTATTTTTCTATTCTCAGGGAGACACATTGGTTCAATCAATTATGATTGACTACCAGTTGTCTTACCTACAAAACCCTGCGATGGACGTTCTTTACATGATATTCAACTGCACCGATCACGAGATGAGATCCAAGAACTTCTATGACTGGATAGACTATTACCATTCAGAACTGGATAAAAACTTATCAAACTTTGGCTTGAAGGCTAACTTAGTTTATCCAAGGGATCAATTAGATGCTGATTTAAAAAGATTTACTAAACCGATACTCGGTTTGTCATTACTAATATGCAATCTATTAATGAGAGACGCTAAAGAAGCTAGTGTTGTAAAAGAAAACATGAATGCTGGTGGATTTTTTGATGCAGTTAAATCAATGAGCAAACAAGAATTGGAGAAGGAAAGCTTAGCTCGTGGCAAGAAGAGAATGGAAGGCTTGATTGACACTTGTATTAAATTTGGTCTGATATAAGAGATGTTTTAGACTGACTTTATTAACTTTATTATTAAAATAATAATAATTAAGCTTTATTGTACACCAAGCAAGTAATTACACATATTCGGAAATTATAAAGAATAAGGAGGGTACGAGGGCGGCCTTATCGCTAAAAGCGATATCTACCAGGCAACCTTTGGGTGTATGGAACGATGGTTAATTTAATATCTATAATCTAATAAAATACATCATAATGTTGAAATATATGTGAAAATTAATAATGATTTTGTTTTGTGTAACCAAACCCTCTATAAAATAATGTTAAATTTTAGACCAAAATTACATAGATATCAATGCCATATTACTTTCATTAACTTTTTTGTTAAACAAGAAAGCAAACAATTCAAAATTTTAGGTGATTGCAGACATTTTTTTTTTTTGAGGGAGGAAAATCATCCAATTTCTTTTTGCCCGGGTGAAACAAGAGGGAGTGTCAGACTCTTACTGACTAAAAAACCACCCCGTTCCCACTCCTATACTTTGAGCCGGAGCCTCCGAATACATTTGAAAAGCATTTTGAAAAAAAAAACTTACATTCACTTTCATTTTAATGGACACTTGGATACAGAACAAAAAGTCGATAATCAATATTTTGCTCGGATTATTTGTGATACATTTATGAAAAATTCATTACAAGCATTTTAGTTTAAAAATTACGACTACTATATATATATCGTTTGGTGCCCAAGACCAGGTTCATCAACAACAGCTAATAGCCGGAGATTATGATAAGTTCCTAAAGTGTGTACCACAATCACATGAGCATTAAATTTATAAAGACAACACTAACTATAAAAAAACGCGCCGTTTCCTCTTTTTTCACGTGGTGCGGAAATAATTGTTTGTCCTAAAGCTGCGCTGTACTCTGGCTCCAAAAGTACTTATATTATATAAAACATGTTCAACATAAATTGTAGAAAATTGTGAATAGTTTAATTTTGTAGTTCAAGGTTTTCTCGTAAAATGTACAGGAAAAGAGATATTGTAAAATACCTATTTTTGGCCACTATTTTGCCAAGATGGCGGCGCGAGCGATGTACGTACAAAAGGGCAAAATGGAAATCGAAGAGCACATCAGAGTCTACAAAATTGCCCATTTTCAAAACTCCCGTAAAACTTTCCAGGTGACCCGTATATTTATCTCTGTACTGTGATGAATGTTTAATATATAGACTAAGCGGGTAGTAGGTACTTTTTTTTTTAAGGGGGGAAAATCATCGAATGACGGGTAGTAGGTACTAAGACTGGTAGAGAATGCCATATGGCATTAAGTTCGCCTTATGTGCATAATAAAATTGTGTACATAAAATAATAAACGTGCAAATAAACGTACTTATTCTTATTCTTATTCTTAAATAAATAAATAAATAAGTTAGTTATATTGTTAGTTAAGGTTAGGTAAGGTTGTCACTACTGCCGCAACAGTCTGCGAATATATGTTATCTAATATGTGCTATCGAGACGTCCGTTGTTTTATTCCGCTCCTAGTTGACAAGCGACCTGCGTCCACATATTCTTCAATTACTTATCGGACTATAAGGAGTTAGCAACTTTTTATAAAAAGGTTTCTTATATAAATTAGTAATGGACAATAATAAGAAATAATTAACATTTATTATTTTAAAAATATCGAATTATAAATTAACAAGTTTAGTAATACATTAAAACTTTCTTTGCTAAATTCAAAACATTATAATCTTTTAAAAGTTATTCTAAAGGAATTGCAAACCTATTGCACTAAATTGGACACACATACACAAACAGTATGTACTATAACAATACATACATACATACATAACTTCACGCCTGTCTCCCATGGGGGTAGGCAGAGACTAAGGAACGCCAATTACTACGATTCTTACATACCTCTTTAACAATAACAATCTTAAAACAAAAATTGAAAAAATAATACTTTGTTTAACCCTAGTATGTTGCACTCACGACCTTGAGAAGTGTCTTTACTTGAAAAATAACAATACTAAGGAAGACCTAAAAGTGATATGTTTTCATATTTTTTTAGCGTTAAAACCCTCGCTAAGCATTTTCTCCTATGTCGTGGATGCGTTTACAAACAAACAAGTTCACATACACATGACACCCAGACCAAACAAGAATTTGTGGTTCACACGAAGTATTGTTCCGTGAGGGATTCGAACCCACGACACGTTGCGCGGCAGCCGGTTACCCAGCCACCGCACCAACCGTGCAGTAATTTAAAGCTGAGGTACAATTTGTTTAAGACTTCCTATATTTATACAGTTATACAAGTAGTCTTTATGCTAATAGCTATACTTTACTAGTCAACCTTTGGATTGCCAGGTCGCTTAGGTTCGTTACTACCACTTTAACAAGACTTAACACCTCAGTGGCGCTATCTGGTGGACAACAAAAACACTAATTCAGTTACAAACAATCAACATAATCTCAGAACAAATCGAAAGCAATATAACTATCAATTAACCCAACTAGTCTTTTCTTTAGAAGGACTGCAGTTTCATCGTGAATATTAGTTAGTGCTTCTGATATATCATCAGCATCAGAAGCTGAGAATGCGTCTTTAAATTTACTAGCTTCTTCAGGATTAGCTGTTAGTATACCTGAGATTAAGATATTACAACCAAACGCTAATTCAGCGTATCTCTTCAAATCAGCATCGAGCTGACTTCTAGGATACACGTTGTCCACTTTGAAACCATACATCTCTAAGGATTTTCCCAATTCAGCGTGGTAGTAATCTAACCAATCGTAATAGTTATTAATTCTAGTTTCATGGTCTGTGCAGTTGAAGATCATGTAGAGTAGATCGTTGGCTGGACTGGAGATCTTCGACAGTTGGTAATCAATCATTATGGATTGCTTCAAGTCCTTGCCCTGAAATATGAAAGAAATAAATTAATGCAAAAATTTTTATAACACGTGTAGGAATCTAACATAGATAAACATACGTACTTACTGCCATACATCAAGAAAAATATTGTAGGCAATTTTGCCGATGGAAAAGTTTATCATGTTTGGGTTACTTGTACATCGAACCCAACAGTAGTAGGGACTGATACAGATTTCTAAAGTCAATCTTATATTCTTATACTTTTTTATATAAAGCGGGACAGTTTGTTTTTTTTGTTTGCTTGTTTGAATGCGTTGATCTCCGTAACTACAAGTCTGATTTGAATAGTTCTTATTGTGTTGGATAGTACATTTATCGAGGATGGCTATAGGCTATAAAACATTACGCTACGACTAATAGAAGCTGAGCAGAGCGTGTGAAACCGCGCGGAAGTAGTTAGTTATTATAAAAAAAATAACGTGCTTGGTCATCCTTACTCAATATTTTGTTGGTTTTTTTATCATTTTGAAGGTTTTTGTTGTACTTAATAATTTTATAACCGTATAGATACGAAACCCAACATAAACTGATAACTATGATCTTGTACGCGTTTTGACTGTCAACACCAGTCAATCTTCAGAACTCCTTTTGTTCGATTTTCATACTCCCTATTGCAATGATATGTATGCAGAGAGGAATGAAATCTAATATAGATGAGCTTTAAGGTCTGAATTTCTTCATTTAAATTTCGCTGGACAGTTGGATAATTTAATAAAACTTTAAATCTCTGAATTGCGTATGTTCGCCATTTAGTTTTACAAAATCTCGACACAGTTTCAAAATTTTTGTTTGTTTTAGAAAACTATGAAAAATTTGCTAACCGGTTTCTTAGGAATATCAAGATACAAAGCGGTAATAGGAAAATAATATAGAAATTTTAGAAAACCAAAATATAAAATAAACACTTTGTTACATCGGTTTAATATGTGATGTAAATGCCATGCATCGGCACGAATGGGCTGGCTCGACCGTGGTGATACCACGGCTTCGCAGAATAACGACTTAAACAATACTTTTATTGTATTTTGTCGTGTGAGTGAGGTTATCGAAGGCCTAGTTACACCAATCGCCAAACTCCCCCAATCCCCGAATCCCCAACAATCCTCAAATTCATAATCCCCAAAAGGGCGGTAACGCACTTGTAACACCTCTGGTATTTCGGGTGCTTCGATTGTTTACCACCAGGTGATCCGTACGATCGTTTACTGGATTGTTCCATAAAAAATAATGTGTTTATAATACCTCTATAATGTGTTTTTTCAACATTCTTACCTCAAACTTAAACAGAATATTGTTGGTCCAAGAATCTCCATGTTGAATAACTGAATATGGGCTCTCATGTTCATACGCTGTCATTTTCGCTGTTCTTGCTGGCATCTGACTTACTTTGGTCTTTATCATATCTTTATGTTTAGGGTCGTCCAGCATATTGATAGACACGTTTTCCATCTGCTCAAAAGAAGCCTGCTCTTCTGGAGGCAAATCGACCAATTTTCCCCACATATCTTCAAAATGGTCCTTGAAATATTTAAAGCTTTCGGGGTCTTTATGCCTTAGTGCAAATGAAAGGGAATGAAATATTGCTAAGTTCTTCAGTACCCTAGTTACGCATTCGTTCGATAGTGATTTCATTCTGTCCATTATAGTAAATCCTTCTACTTTCAGGTCTTCTAATAATATTACTTCGTTTGGTGCTTCAATATTAGTTCCATAGCACTTCGGGAACTTTATTTGTTCGTCTTCTGGTACCCCTGCATCTTTCTGTAGTTGCAATAACTTCGGTATGTATTCCGAGTACATTAAATGCTCATTACCAAACGAAAGTGCTGCATTTAAGCGATATCGTGCTATTTCATTTGTTGGTGCAATTTTGGCAATTATCGATAGTGTTCCTTTTTCTCCTTCTACTTTAATTCTTTTTACATTTGCAGCATAGTTGTCACCCACTGCTCCTGCTGCTGCAAATGTCACTTTACTGCCTTTAAAACCATGTTCTTCTATTACTTCGTTGATAAATTCCAACTGTTTTTCAGTGACATCTTCGAAATTTCCTTCGAAATTGATCGGCGCCATTGAAACGTGATTTGTGGAACTAGAAATAATGAACATAATTTTGTTTTAATACATGTATATATAGGTGCAGCTGATCCGCTATCTGAAAGATAAACCGCTGAGCATGATGTTTATAATTTGGTTTGATTAGATATAAACTTATTACGATTAAATAGATACGTAGTAATTATTGCACAATACGCGTGCTTCTAATTTTAGCTTGTTGATAATGAGATATCGTTTTTATCACAGATGACTGGATCGACTGTAATACTACACATTTAAAGCTCAGAACTGTATACAAATGCTAAGCTTTTAAAGTATAACATATTATTAATCAAGTAATAATGCTGTGTAAGCATTATTACTTGATTTTTTTTTGGAAGATTATAATTTGTTTTTAGAACAATATACGCAATTGTATCTCAATAATTGCGTACTCATACTACGTAATTATAAGGAATTAAGCATTTGCATGACAGTACAAAACATTTTAACCTACTAGAAATGTTGAATTGGAACAATCCAATATTTCGTATGTAATAAATCCGAATAATAATTTCAGGAATCTAGTTCAATATCTTACATTAGTTAGTCTCATTTGCGACCACTTAACAAACAAATTAATTAAATATAAAGATAATAATAATTATTGCTTTGCATTATCGACTTGTTGAGTATGAAGTATCGTAATAAAAGTATGTGCCCGACCCTGTTCTGGAATATCCAAATCATTTTATACTGGGACCGATCATCACTGACAGGACTATTGTAGTCAATAAACCTAATCATAGTGATGATAGAAAGACAAGTGCACCACACAATGACAATCGATATCACCATTCCCCATGACGAGAACCTCGTGAAAGTTGAGAAAAATAAAGAAATAAAATATCTAGACTTAACTCACGAAGTTGTCGACTGGTGGAATGTAGATTCGGCTATCATTCTGCCGATAGTCGTGTCAGCCAATGAGGTAATTTCTAAAAGCTTCAACATCTATCTTAGGAGATTGGCGTAAGGTGGATGAATCAAGGGCCTTATACAGAAGGCAGTTCCTCTAGAAACAGCACGTATCGTGAGGAGGTTTCTATTTCTGGAGCCCTAACCTCTGGTAGCTTGGACTCGACTCCAATTTTTATATAAAAAACATTGTTTTAAGAAGGTTTTAATAATATAATTTTAAAGAATTTTAAATAAATAATAGGATAGTAATTAGATCTATATCTATATTAAATTTAATTGTTCTTTTTAATGTGAACTTATGTTGCCATGTGTATCGTGATTGTATATTCTATAACTATATTATGTAACTTGTACTTATTGCTAAACATACATATTTGGGTACTTATGTATCTTCGTATTAGTATTGAAAACATACAATTTACTATGTGTTCAAGGTCAATCTGTTGGATAACATTACGTCTCAATTTTTTTCTAGAAATTAATCTACGGTTTTGGTTAGATAGAGATTTCCGCATTAGTTTTTTGTACCATCTAGTTAATAGTGCAGTCTTCCTACCAGAAATTAGGACTCCCTTCCTCCGAGATTCTCAAAAATATGTGTATTCTTTTGCGATCAGTCAATAACAGATCAGTTATTTTGTCTGTATGTCAATATTTGGTCAGTTCTAAATATTACAACGTGATGTTAGATTGCCTACGTCTATTTGTACTCAATCAACATTATTTTTTTAAATTCTACTTTACTGTCAAGGCCAATTCTTTTATTTATTTTTGTTTTGTGTTGATTATAAAGTAGTATTGTCTTCTTGTTTAAATAAAAAACTCGTTGTTCGGCAAATAATAACATCCCAGTGTTCTGTTTTGTTGTAACAAGTTTAAGTATTTGACCTTAATGTAGTAAATCATCATGGAGCCTGTAACTCGTTGAGTACCGTCATTATAGACACAATTTTAGAACAATAGGTTGCGGTCACCGGTGTCCTCGCGGTGTTTGACAGTTTAAGCGAGATATGCAGGGACTGTCAATTTTTTTTGTAAAAAATATACACTACTCTTAGTAAAGGATTTACGTCGTCTAAAGTGCAATAGTAATAGTAAAAAAAAACACAAAAAATTGAAGGAAAGTGACTGGCTCTAATGAACTTCTAATTAGTCTGGAAAGATTAAATTTAAAAAAAAATAGATTCCAGATAACTGACACCAAAACTTAAATTATATATCATTTACGTTCTAAAGAATTCATCAGCCTCATCTCTTTACCACATTTTTTATTGTCAGCAACCGAACGAGTTTGGGCAATCGATCAATTTTTTACATAATTTTAAGTCTCAACAGAGCTCAAATTATATACACACAAAGTAGGTACACATGCACTAGTATCAATGGCATACGTTTCTGGACAGGCAACCTCTTTAGACACTCAATTCAACCAATCAAACTACCGAGAGTAAACCAAATTATTCAATAAATAAAATGATGTTACTGGCACAGTATACGTCTAAAACTATAGGTAATTGATAGAAATAAAAATCATAATATTACCTAAGTGTTAATCCCACAATTCTGTATCCAATATACTTTGAAACGACACAGGACGTGTACATGTATTGTTAGATTTATTGCCGCTTAAACTGACAGCACGAGATGGTCACTAGTACGTTCAAAGGCGAGTAGTGCACGTGAGAAATTCAACCAATCATTGACCATAATCCGTACCGTTACTAGATACGCCATGTTTTGGACATCACAGATTATGTAATATTGAATGAGGTGTTTGACCTCAAGTCAAAACTACTTAATCGCTCAATTCTTTCTTTTTTATGAAATAAGACGCCATTATTGTAGCCATAATACTACTAGCTAATTGTAATTTATCGTATCCATTTTTATCACACTATCAATTGTTGACGTGGAGTTTATCCGAATGCAGATAATAAACACACATGTATAGATATGGTCGCGTATAAAAAGAATAACATTCATTAGTATAGAGGTAGTTTTAGTTTCAACTCAACTGTGAATGTGGACTGACGGAGCTACATAATGACGGAGTACAATTTCGAAGGAGATTTCACTAACTTAAGTGAACGTCAACTAGAGTACATCAACAAAGTGGTTTTAGAACAAAATTTAAAAGTAAACAAAGTAATATTCCATTCATTTGGGCAAGCTGGTGATAATTTTGGGGCAAATGTGAAGAGAATCAGCATAGAAGGAGAAAATGGAAGCATGAAGATGATTATTAAAATAGCAGCTGTAGATGAAATAGTACGTAAGTCAATGTTTACTGAATATTTGTTTTATAATGAGCATATTATGTACACGGAAGTACTACCTAAACTAGTGGCACTGCAGAAAGCAGCAAGAGTACCAGAAGAAGAACATCTAAGATACGCAAAGTGTTACGGATCCCTAGATGAAGCACCAAATGAAGTGATAATGTTGGAAGACCTTAAGGAATCAGGTCATATAATGTTGGATAAGTACGAACCGTTACAAGATTACGTTGTGAGGAATATTTTGAAAACTTTTGCAATTTATCATTCTTTATCTCACGTCTTGAAGAGTAAAGAACCAGCTACGTACAAATGTTTTGAAATTAAGTTAAAAGATGTGTGGTCAGTGATGTCAACAACACCGGAATATATGAACAATTTTAAAGGCATTGATGACGCTACTGTATCAATTGTTGACAACGAAAATCACAAGAACATCGTCAAAAATAGAATAACAAATATGTTTAAACTGGTCCTTAAACTAGTTGAAGGGGAAAATAAGAAATATTCTGTCATTCAACATGGTGATGCTTGGACGAACAATATCTTGTTCAAACTTGTGGTAAGTGCTTTTATTTATTTTAACTTCTGTGTTGTTGCTCTGTTTTGTGACCCATCACTTCTTTTGCCACGAATTCAAACTTGTGTCAAATGAAAATTAATAATATCACCCGGCGTCGTCGTCGTCATTTGTCAACATCTGAAGCCGTCGCAATAGCTGGTAGCCCAAAATAGAAAAAAAATATTAAGAATCTTTTTTAAAAAAAAATTTTATGTTCATTTTCAGGATGGTGAAGTAGGACCCTCAACAATGATTGATTACCAAGGAGCTAGAAGAAACAATCCTGTGATGGACATCCTCTACATGATCTTTAACGGAACCGACTATGAGACTAGAAAAAATAACTTCTACAACTGGTTGGACTATTACCATTCGGAATTAGATAAATCCTTGTCGTACTTTGGTCTTAAAGCTGACGTAATATACCCCAGGGACCAACTGGATGCTGATGTGAAGAAATATAGCGAATTAATATTTGGTGTAGTTTTATTCACTAACAATATTTTGAACAGGGATGTTAATGAAACCAAAGAAGTGATAGATAATATGGAACACAGCGGGCTAAGTGAACTAATATCTTCAATGGCAAACACTAAAATGAAGGCTGAATCTGAAAAACGTGCAAGAAAGAGAATTGAAGGAATAATTGCTAGTTATACTGAATTTGGATTTTTCGATCATTTTCAAATTAAATAATTGAAATTAACTAATAATTTAGAAATTGTTACAGAAACTGACGACTAGTGAATACACGCTCCCGTTAATGCAATTATTATTAATATTAATATTTAATATTGTATTTTTGTAATTTTTCCTTATTGCTCGCCTAATAAATTGCTCTAATATTATTATTCGGAGCTAAATAAACTGCCATCTGCGTACCTATATAATAGCATTTTTATTTATTTCACTTTATTGAAATTGCAACTGCCTCGTTGGTTGAGTGGTTACAAGTGCGACTGCCAGGCAAGGGGTATCGGGTTCGATTCCCGGGTCGGGCAAAGTATTATTGGGTTTTTTCAAAAACCCAAAAAACTGTCAGTAGTAGCACGGAGTGTGGAATTATGTACAGTGGCATAATGTGCACCTCTGCCAACTCCTTCAGGGATAAAAGGCGTGATGTTGTGTTATGAAATTGATACCAAATTATACAGGGTATCCCTGAAGTCGATGATCAAATGGCACCAGGTGATCGGCAAGATTCCAACAGTTATCAGAAAAATATAAAAATATCAAGTCATAT